TTCAGCCATTTCTTCTGATAAGATGTTTAACTCTGTCAAAGCCCGAGAAATGGAGCCATCAGGAGCAGTGTTATTTGGGATGTAAGTACAACACCGTTCCCCAATCATAGTACAAACACCCCCTTTTTCTGCCAAAATGAAGTCTAAAGCCAATCTATTCTGATACGACATTAGAGTGGTGGCTGCCAGTTGCTCCTGAAACCCAACAGCTAAATCTCTGGTAAGATTAGTGAGACGCTGAACATTGAAATGGACAAAATTTATTTGATCTACATTTTTATTTATGGTCACCCACCAGAAGAGGGCAGACTCAAAACCTGCCATCAACTAATTTATATTCATCAGGAACACCACGTGGGACGCCTATTGCATCAATATAAGTAGGCGAGAATTTAGCTGGGTCAAATATGGCCTCCCGTTTTGAACGGTGTTCCTTAGGGGGATGACTAGATCCTGACAGTATATCTAACACAGAGGCATTTACCATGGTGACTGGTGCTATAAGTGATATCATTGTACAAGTGCCAAACCAGTCAGGAGGGAGAATATTAAGCAGTCTATATCCACCACAATACCAATACACATTGGATCTGGCAAAAGTCAAACGTGTTGCATTGGCCCATGTGATGAGATTTAATGTAACGGTGCACCAATCTAAGGGAATAGTACCTACATTAGTTCCTGTTGCATTGGTTTTGGTAACACAAGTAGAATTATTTTTGACTGCAGTAAAGATAGGAGGTACTGCATCTCTAGGTGCCAATGGGTAATAAATTTCCAAATCTCTGCAGGCTGGTGTACTAGGATTCTCAGTCATATGCAGCTCAAGCATGCAGTGTGTATAATTAGCATCAGATAAGAGGGAAGGCACTGTAAGCAAAGCAGGACAAGGTCCTGCACATATGACACAAGAGATGTTAACTAACGCTTTACGTGCTGCATTTTGAACCCATTCAAGCCAAATTTTTTTTTGCACAAATCCTGTTTCTATCACTATTTTTTTCTGCAGATCTGATGAAGTAGAAATGTAG